ATAAGTCTGGTTTAGACGGCAAGATTTAAGAATTGTCGGCTGATTCTCCAAACCTCTGTGACCACAGAGCTGATAAAAGCCCAACAGGTTCGATCGGTTCGTGTGTCCAAGGCAGGAGGAACACACCACACGAGCATCCCGATTCCAGAGGATAATCCAGTAAAACCCCCAACATAGCATACGGGAATTTAGAATGACCAAATACGGATGACGATGTAGAAGCAATAGTGATAGTTTGTGGAGTCATTTTAAAAGACGTAACAAAAAGAAAAGGCGGTGGATAAAAGACAGCGGGAGCAGCTGCTCTATTTGCTGCACTATGATTAGGAGGTGACTATGTTTTTTCATAGTTAACATTTTTAACTGAATAAACAGATATAATAATGACCTTTAAATATAATAATAAACATTTCCACATATCATCTCCGATATCCACCGGACTCTCAGTTGCATGATATGTCAGCTGTTTGGGATTCCCCTCTGTTCTGACGTCACCGCGCCTTCTGATTGGCTCCCTGTCACATTCAGCAGGTTGTATTCTCGTTCCCAGTCAGGGTAAACTATGGAGTTAGATTTGTTTCACAATTATCCAATCAAAAAATAAATAAATAAAAAAAGTAAAATAAAAAAAAGTAGTATTCAATCAAAAAAAAAATTCAAACAAAATCTTAAAAACTTTTTAATCATAAAAATATATTTTTTATTGAACTTTTGTTTGAAACTTTTATTTTTTGGCTGAGTCTGTTTTTTTTGAAGCGCCTGTTTTTTGGTTGAACTCGTTTTCTTGCTTATACAACTTTATTTGCTTTGGGGAAGCTTACATGAACATTCTGGGCGGGGCTTAAGGACGAGCGATGTAAGACGTGTTCCGATTGGTTAGCGCTGACTAAAGCGGATGACTCCCTGAGATCTCAGAACTCTGTCCCGAACTGCAGGGCTTCGGTGACGGGACACAGAATGTAAATTACACCGTTTAGCAGCTTCTAAAGTGTTCATATCTTTACAGCTTCTGTAATGAAATAAAAATAATTTACTCTGTTGGAATTATTTTCTCTCTTTGCTGTCAATAGCAGAGTTGACATTCTGTAATAAATATGTTTTCTCTGGGAAAAAAGTAAGAAAAAAATGTAGTTTAATGTTTGAGAATGACTGATTTTATAAATCAAAAGTCATTCCTCAATAATGTATAAAAAATAAGTACAAGAAAATTATTTGTTGTCTTGAAACGTTAAATGTACATTAAATTATGAAATTATGTAAATATGTTCTTTAATTAAACACTGTAAAAGTGTCTGTTCATCAATGTTAATATAAAAATGATCAGAATCATTTCTATCAAATAAAAACATTGTGCTCTTTATTCAGAAATGCCTCAAAACAATTAAATAATCACATCAAAAGTTAGAAACTCTATCTTTAGTCATTTCTTTGATTGTCAAAAATATTAGTGTGTGTGAGAAAATGTGTTAATGACAGGAATTAACTTAAATACTTTGTAAAATGGCACTTTGTGAAGTTCAGTCCATTTACTTGTATTAGCTTACTGCCACATACAGTAGGCCACATTCAATATGGCAGACTCTGTGACGTATCGCAGCAACGGGCCGATCCGCTCCATGAGGCGTCTATGTATTTATGTCTATGAAGAAGAAGAAGAAGAAAAAGACCACTTCTCTGCCAGAGTGTTAGCCAGTGTTTGGTACTTCAGGCCTCAGTGTTTCCTCGTTGTGGATCTCTCAGTAAATCTCTGAGTTCTTCCTCCTTAGGCGAACCCTCGTGATGCCGTGGATGTTACCCACTGGTTGCCCAAGTTCCACCGACAAACCCGCAGTTAATCAAACCTCCCAGAATCTCTCAGTTGGCTGTCTCCTTCGCTCCTCTCCACTGGAAACTCAAGAGCTTACCTGTCCGCCCTCCACTGCTGTTCCTCCATCGGCCAAAGCAGCAAGCCCTCTTCCTCAGTAAACCCCTCCTGGATCATTTCTCCGCAAACCCAAGTAAGACTAGTCCATTTGTTTCACATTGCTCATTTCCTACGTTCCTCAAACTCACCTCCACTTCTCTCTCGCTCCAGTGATCAAGTTCCCAGTTGCAGTCATCCCCTGGACACGCTGTTCTGATTATTATTTTTATTTTTACAATAAACCACTTAACTGATTTCTATTCTCTGCCTGGTGTTTCTGTGTAGGTTAGAAAACTAGAGCCCATCATGACAGTTTTTTCCTGTCTACTTAACATTTTTTAATACAAAAACATGATGGATGGACCGCCAGTGGACAGCCGACCACTGGTCTTGGCAAGATTTCTGGGGGAAACCCTGTTCTGGGTTTTATTTAGGGGTTTCAGTCAATGGGACTGACCACAAGTGTATTCCACACTGTATATTTTATTTTTCAAAATGTTTAATTTTCATTAAACTTAATATGTTACCTTTTGCTAGTCTTCTGCATAAAATCCCAATAAAACACAATGTGGTTGTAAGGTTAGAGATGCAAACGGTGTTGGGTTCTGAGGCTGCAAACCAAGTGCAACTTATTTCTCTTCCTCCACCACCATGGTTGACAGCTATGAGATGTTTGAACTGAAACAGGTTCTGTTCTTTATCTTGATTCATAAAACCCAAGATTTGGTGAGGGTGTTTCTTTCCTGTGAGATTAGTGAAACCTGAGGTTAGGTGTTGCTTCATGTTTTGCTCTGGTTGTTATGACTTTACCACCAAGCCCTTACTTCTTACTTCTTTGCTCAAACTTGAAGACCCAACCAGCTAAAGAACAATTTTTGCTACTGTCTTGTTGTTGTTTTTTTGAGAGCTACTTTCCAAAAAAAAAAAAAATTCAACACATTGGTGTGGCACATATTCCTTTCTTCTTACATTAAGAAAGCAGTAATGGCCTTCAAAATAAAAGCTGTATCATTGTGTTTTGTGCACCTCTAACAAAGGTTGTCATTTGGCAGAAACGTGTCATTAGAAAGAGCTGAATCCATAGCTGTTCTGTAAAATCGCTGACCAAGTATAAGTGGTTTGTCACACCAACGCCTGAATAAGATGCAGACGTCTTCTCTGAATTATGAATATCTCATGAGTTTACATCCGGTGCTGCAATGATTTTTAATAAGCAAATTTATTCAAGTGTGAGTTTAGTTTCATTTCTTAATTAATGGATTCACAGCAATTGCAAAATTGTGTTGTTTTTTTTACATTAGCAGAATTTAGACAAAGACTTGGGTATATTTTTAAAGGAAACGCAGCTGTAGTTACTTTGCAGAGAAGTAAGTAAAAGTGCATACACCTTCATCCTGTGTGGCTAACACAGGATGAAGGTGAGATGTATCTGCAAAACTTTCAGAGACGCTTCTGCAAGTGTTTTTTTCCCACAGAGCTGCTTGTTGGGTTCATGTGTTTTTTTTTTTGTAATCATTTCATGTCTTGTCTCAATAAGGTAAAATAAGTAAAGAAACAGCAGTTAATTGGCTGGTCTGAAAGCTCCTCCTTCAGTCTCTCCTCTGATAAACAACATGAAGGTTCAAGACTGACGACAACATAAAGGAGAGACTTAAGGGATTCTTGTTCTTTAGATTTTCTGACTCACTTTCCAGGTAAAGATCTTCCATTTGTTTCTTACTCTTATAGTTCACAAAAAAATCATAATAGCTTTAATTTGAAAATGTAACATTAAGAATTAAGAATGCTGTACAGGAAATCAATGCAAAGTTTGTCTGAAAGGTAAAAACACCTCAGTAGTCAGATTGATTTGAAAACAGTTTGTTCCAACACCTGCTGTTTTATTATAACTCATCATGACATCGCTAGTGGTTATTTACAGAATTAGGTTTGACATTAAGAATTACCATCTTCAATATTATATTTTAGTTATCTGAAAACTGTATGCCCCATATAAGCAATAACTTGTGATTTTCATCTCTAAATTGGTCAAGCTTTAAAAATAATGAATTAGATAATAATTAACTAGAGAACCACGCAACATTCAGCTAGTTATTAATTATGAAGCAGGCTGAACATACAATCATTCAGTAAATGTGAATATTATTGAAAAGTAAATTTACTCCATTCACCAGTGGAAACACATTATATAGATTATTAAAAACAGACTGATGGAGGAGAAAATAATCCACAGGGGTTAAAAAACAACTTTTGAATTATTTCCATATACATGCTAAAAACAATAATCTTTATAGTTTTTCCTAATATTGGTTTTTCCTCTTTGTCTTTCTAGTTAACCATGGAGTCGACCGACAACTGGCTGTCTATGGTGAAAAAATTGTTAAAAACCAGTCCACTGGGAGCCACTGTAGGTTTTGGATTTATCCAGGTGATACTGGAGAAACTGGTGGAAGCAGAGTTTTCATGCCCTTGTCACTCTAGTTACAACCATGGATATGGTTTAGTATTTTTCATTGCTCCATCACTTATAGTCTTTTTACTAATGTGTGTCATTAGTTATTCGCTTAAGTTATGGACATGTCCGTGGACATGGACATGGACATGTCCGTGGACATGGACATGTAAATCAATCTGGGAAGCCTTAATTATCATGTTGGTTCCAGCCGTAACATGGTTGATAATAGTGTTTGTTGATGGTCGTTATTACGCCTGTGCAAAGACCAACTGGAACGGAAAGTATGAACTGATTGAGAACGCTGCTCCTCAGAAATGGTGTAAACCATCAAACTCATCTCTAGAGCGAGACTCACTGACCGACACCCAGTTCTGGTATTCTGAATCACAGGTAAGAAAGGATGATATTTTATAGAGATTCATACAAACTAATAGTTTAGATGGAGTATTTTTTGTGTGCTAATAACATACAGTATATCTTTAATTGTTTTTGACTGTTTTCTTAGCTCATTGGATTCTGCACAGCAGCTGGGCTGACCTTCATTTATGTGGGTTGTTTTTTCTGCTCCCGGTGCTGTTCATCCTCACCAGAAAACAGAGGGAACCCAGTGCCTTTAGAAGAGGTCTAGATGGAGCCCAAAAATTCTTAAAAGAAATTAAGAAATGTATGCATGCATTTAATTATTGATTAAGAATAACATTCCTGGCAGGAGAAACATTTAGTATATTTTACTACCTTTGAAAAAGGTTTTCTGTATAAATATGTTTGTGTCACTTTCATGTAAAATGATTTATTATTTCTTACTGTGCAACTCAAAATTCCAGTTTTGTTTTGTAGATATCTTACTCAGATGTGTTGATATAAAAATACTATTTTAATCACAATTCCTTTTACCTGATATCTCATTATGTACAGATGGGATTTTTGCATTTCTTTTTTGATTCTTACAACTTAGTTTTGGTTTAATGTTTTTCATCTTCTGATTGAATTATCATTATTTAGACATGACTGTTCGGTTTGTTGGCTACTATAAAATGTCATCTTAGATATTTTTGACTAAAATGTCTGACGTGTGTAATGAAAGATTATTTGTAATCAGGTTCAGGTTTTAACTTTCACATCTAACCTTTTAAGCATTTTATATATTATTCAAGTGTTTTATGATAAATAACTATTTGTTCAATAACAATGTGAGGACAGGAAAGTCTGTGAATCCGGGTGGAGGGTCAGTTCCAGTAAGTAGTGGGTTATTTTGTGCATCAGCTCAGGAAAACAGACCTGCAGCTGAAGAGGTGAACAGATTCTAGGGGAAATGTTATTGTGTGATGATTTGGGCAGATAGTCTCTGTTGTTGGGGTAAAATCTCTGATCACTTCGGGTGTTTTGCTGTCAGATGTTCTGAGATGTGTGATCCCAACAATATATCTTTGTATTCAATAAATATGATTAATTTTACTTCTCTGACTTTTTGTGCTGGTTTAATCCTTCGCATACGAATCTCGGGGAGATTTACTGATCTAAATTTGGTGTTTCCACCCAGTTCTTGTGAAGGATTTCTGGATTTTTAATACTGATTGGTGGGACGCAAATGCAGCTCTCAGAGGGTCGACCCACTAATTCAGTTAAGCAGAAACCTGTTGCAGTTGAAACTGTCTAATTCTGCAGATTGGATGTGCAAAATCAAGAGGATCTGTATCTGAGGCAAGCATTCCTAAATTCAGAGAGCAGCCAGAGGTGGTCCTAGCCTGTTTGGGGCCCTGGGCGAACCACCTATCCAATGCCCCCTCCACGCCCCCAGTCCCACCCTGTGTCATCCAGTTTGTGTCTCTTTATTTTGCAAAATCTTATTCATATGAATACTGTAACCACTCCCAGATCATAAAGCACACATTCATATTTGCCCTGAACTCCATCTGGATCTGCATGAATTACAGTCGGCCCCAGTTACATTATGTGGTTCTTTATACATATATTAATATGTATAAAGAACTATTCTTGTTTTATTAATCACGGTTTAACTCCAGCTTCATGTTTGTTTTTCATTCACTTAGCAACGTGCCTCCTTTTAGAGCACTTTGCATCTTTTCGTTTCAAACACCAACATTTACCTGAAAGGTAATCTAGGGATGCAAATATGTTTTGTGACTGAAAACTAAAAATGAAACAAAACAGTTTAGGAACAATTAGAGCGGAAAAACTAAGCCACACCACCAAGAAGGAGATTTTTAACTTCAGATCTTGTCACGGGATTTTGTGCTGACAGTAAAAACAATTTATTTCTACAATGCAAACTTAATTTTATGAAAAATTAAATGGTCTAGTTTTAACTTTGACAACCAGGTAACAGTATGAAGTTGGTGTTGTATTTGGTTTGATTAAAAGAGAGTTGTTAGTGCTGGTATAGTTGATGTTTTTAATTCTACCATGAGCCGTGTTGTTTTTAAGAGCAGATATAATATGTCATAACTAAACTTGCTGGTTATGTTTTGCTTTATTGGAAGCATAAATCATCTCATAGTGAAGTTAGATCATTAAACAGGTGGAGTAGTTCATATTTTTAGAAATAAAATAAACTAAAAGCTAACGTTGCTTTTATTTGAATTGTTCTTTCTGCAGAGATGAACATAGCAGCAGTAAAACAATGGCTCTCAGCAGTGAAGGGACAACTTGAGAAGAATCCTCTGGCATCAAACATTGGCTTTGCACTGATCCTTCTCTGCTTTGAGAAAATTGTAGAGTTGGAGTTTGTTTGTCCCTGTCAGTCGAAACTGAATGCCGTCTCTGCTTTATCATTTTTCTCAGCTCCAGCTTTAATTGTCTTTCTGCTCATGCTTAGTACTGAACGTCCATGTAAATCGTGTAAATCATATGTGGAAACTGTCCTTCCTGGTCTAGTTCCTGCTATAACCTGGTGTATAATATTGTTCATGGATGGACGTTATTACGCCTGTTTTTGGACCAACTGGTCAGGACACTATGAAACCAGTGAGACTGCTTCCCCTCTGAAATGGTGCATGCAGCGTGTTTCTACTTGTTTTACATTCATCAACAGATAAACAGCTGTTAAACATTAACATTATTTTTATGTCCATTTTCTTTATGTGTTTTTTAAAAAGGTCATTGGACTCTGGGTTGCATTTGGTCTCACTGCAGTTTTTAAGATCTATTTGTTCTGTAAGTCCTGCTGCAAACATCAAGAAGAAAAAGACAATGAAAATAACGCTTAAGACATCCATTTACAGGTGCAGAACAGCGCATGACAGAAATTCAGAAAAGAAAAGAAAAGAAAAGAAAAGGACATCTGGGTGGGAAAACAACAACCAGGATTATCAATTTGAACAGTCAGATCTCATTCAGAAAATCTAGAATAATGTTAAAACATGTTCCAGTTGGAGACAATCAAATGTGAAGGACAATCCAACTTCTATAAGATATACTAAATTTATTTTAATTTATAACAAAATAAAGTCTCTACTTTTAAAATCTTATGTTAAAAAGGATCAGAACAACAAGTGGCTTTCAGCAGTTAAAGAATTGTTAAAAGCCAGTCCACTGGCAATTAGTTTAGGTTTTGGATTTATCCAGATGCTACTGGAGAAACTGGTGGAACTGGAGTTTGCATCCCCTTGTGACTATAGTTGCAACTATGAGCCTCAGAAATGGTGCAAACCATCAAACTCATCTCAAGAACAAGAGTCACTGGCCAAAACCAGCTGTGGTATTCTTACTAACAAGTAAGAAATCAGGATATTTTCCTGAAATTTGGACAAACTACCAATTTACATGAAGAGTATTTTTTGTGTGCTAATAAGCTACATCCTTTAAATTTCTGTTTTTGACTGTTTAGTACATTGGATTCTGGACAGCAGCTGGGTTGACCCTGATTTATCTGCTCTGTTTTTGCTGCTGCCGGTGTTCATCCCCTACAGAAAATGGGACAGACGCTTCAGCACCTCTCTAGATTGAACCAAAAATGTTTTTTAAAAATATGAAAATGTGTGCATAAGTTTATTATTCAGATGTATTGATATAAAAATACGTTTTTCAGTCTCAGTTCTTTTTACCTGATATCCCATTATTTTTAGACATCCTGCATATATTTTTCAGATATGCATCATTTTCAGATGTTTTTTTTTTTTTTTTCTCATCTTTGCACCCTACAATGTAAAATGCATATAATCCTCTAATTAAATTAGCATTATTGTTGGTTACTACAGAGGTGACAATTCAAAATAACCAGATTCTTCTTATTCAGTCGATTTAATAGCGATACTCTTGGTTCTTCTTTCAGGAATTAGAAAAATTAATTATTCAGAAAACGAAAGTATGTTTACCCATGTGCTAGGGGTCTTAGCAGCTACCTCAAATGCGTCACACTCGCATGCAATGTTGGCCACAGACAGGAAGTTGGAGATGTCACCAGAGGAAGGCCCCGACCGTTATCACAGCTGTGATCTGAGAGAAAAACAATTGTGTTTGCTGTGTATAAAACAAAACCATCTTGCTGCAGTTCATTAAAGGGCAAAACACAAAGGAGAACAGCAGGTATTTATGAAATATTGGTCCAAGAAAATAGATTGTGTTTATTACATGATCTAGTTTTTAATCCACAACACAAACAAGTAAAAGTGTTCAAGAACATAGGAAAATAAAATTAAGAATGTCCTGCATTCTTTCTAAGAGAGAAAGTATGGAGTGAAAATAGTCTCAAAATACCTGTGCGTGTGTAATACTGGATTAAGAAATTATGAATGCTGAATAAGAGTACACACACACAATTACTTTTTCTACAAACGTTAAATTTCTACACTGATTTTTTTAACTACAACCTCACAAATCTGATAACTACGAATTCAAACCTTCTACTATGCCTTCAAATGTTAAATAAATAGACGAATCACCAGATACACACACACAAAACCATTATGTCTATGCACAAAACTGCATTTACGCACAGATCTGGTTACGAGTAAACAAGTATTTTTGAGACTCATTTCACGCTTCCGAACAGCCTCAGATTTGTGCGTAAGTGGTGCGTGTAAATGCTGGTGGAAAGCTGGGTCATCTGATTTTTGCTCGAAGTCCAGTGTTTTTATCCTCTGAACATTTGTCACTGTGCTTGTGCTGAAATGGGAAAGACGTTATTTCTGTGGAAAACGAAATATCTCAGCACTTCTTTATAATATTCCAAAATTGTTTATAGACATATTGTGCATTTTTGAGATGAAATGAGATGACATGGTCTAAAAAATGACCACTAGGTGGCGGAATGGTTCGCTGGCTGGAAAAACAGGCAGCCAATCCAAGAAGCAAGACGGAGTGTCCTGGTGGTCTGCCCTCAGAAGTAAGTACAATTTAAACCTGCACTCTTTGCTCTCCGATTATAATGAGACATCGGATAGTTATAAATAATTTCAGATTACGTTTTATATGTCTGGTACTCTGTCCTCCTTATATGTTTCTGTTAGCGGGAGCTAATGTTTATGTGAGCTTTGCTACTTTGGCTTTTCGTAGCTATGTCCTTGTATCTATGCTGTGTGTCACACATCCACAGTTTAAGAGTCTTTAATCCACAAAAATTTTCTCTACAGTGGTTATTTCAGTATCTGTTTTGCCCCGCAGCTTCCAATCAAATTCCTAAGTCATGTTGCTGATTGATATTTGTGTAGTTTGTGAAATATTCCGTTTTTCCTTTTACTTTATTCACTAAGTGAATATAATTAAGTGAAATAAATTACCTTTCAATTCTAATTTATTGAATTTCTATATGTATAAATAACATTTTATATTTACTTCTACACAGGACAAAACGGCTGACTGATGGATGGACTGTTATTTACTTTCTGGAGGATCAGGATCTTTCAGATCTCATCTACCTTCTCATTCGATGGAGCTGCTGCAGGAACACACTGATCCTCTAACAGGATCCTCAGATCCAGGCATTGATGTCTGGTGTCCTGCAACATTTAGATACGTCCTGGTCCAACACACCTGAATCAAATGGCTGCTTAGGACAGTCAAGTTCTCCAGAGTCCTGCTAATGACCTTTGACCTCATGATTGATTCAGGTGTGTTAAAAAAGAGACATCTAAAGGTCAGCGGACCATTCCACCATCTAGTGGTCGCTTTGTAGACCACATAATCTCATCTGTACCGCTCAAAAATGCACAATGTGTGTGTACTCGTAACCGGATCTGTGCGTAAATGCAGTGTTGTGTGTGTGTATCTGGTGACTCGTGTACTTATTTAACATTTGAAGACGTAGTAGGTTTGAATTCGTAACTGTCAGATTTGTGAGGTTGTAGTTAAAAAAAAATGTGTGTGGAAATCTAACATTTGTGAAAATCATAATTGTGTGTGTGTACTTTTATTTTGCATTCGTAATTTCTTCAGATTTATGTATGCATTTGACCACATATTTACAAGTACCCAAGTTATGCACAAATTTTCTTTTT